TATATATATATATGACTCTTGTAAGTTATTGATTCATGCATTTCTAGCATTTTTAGCATCCTATCATATTTTTCTGTTTTTACTGTTTTCTCTAATTCACGACCCTTGCTCTTCTGCTTCTGTAACAACTGAAGCAGGGCTAATAAAGCAAATATATACATATGTCTGTAGGCCAAAATGAAAAAAACAAACAAACAAATATATCAAGAAATGCCTATTTAATTCCATTTTATTTATATTGTGCCAAATTACAGCAACAGTTGCCTCAAGGCGCTTTATATTTTAATGTAAAGACCCTATATATAATACAAAGAAAACAGAGAAAACTCCAACAGTCATATGACCCCCTATGAGCAAAAGCTTTGATGACAGTGGGAAGAGAAAGACGTTCTTTTAACAGGAAGAAATCTCCAGCAGAGCCAGGCTTAGGGAGGGGCAGCCATCTGCCACGACCGCTTGGAGTGAGTGGAGGGAGAAACATGAGTAGGACAAAAGTTATAAAATAAAAAGCATTGAATTGTACATAACCTACACTCCCATTTAGGATCTTTGTCATGTCTGAACTGCACGTAGCTTTTATTATCTGCCTAGCTGTTTTGTTTAGTTAAAGTTTCATTTGTTGTTTAACCTACTTTAGCGTAATGTTATTTGTTGTCTAATAATGTAATAGGATTTCTGCCAGAGAGAAATATTGCATTATAGAGAGTGACAGCATGGTATGAAAGATTTCCTGTCTCTGTTGTTGTGGCAGCAGGGCCGAATCAGTCTGTCAGAGAAAATCCCTGTCTGCCAACAAGTGCTGCAGAGGGAGTTCAGGATTATCCATGATGGATAACTGTTTGTTCAGTGACCTCCTCTGCAGCGCTCCTTCCAAAGTGTCCAGTTTGCAGACAGCTTTCATAATCAGTTTATTCCGTCTGGTAGTATGCTATACAAAGTATGCTGTGCTCGCCACAACTGAATGATATGAAATCAGTCTTCAATCTATCATTTTGCTGTACACATTAAAGCATCTCTGCTTCCTCAGGAAATAGATGCTACTCAACCTCTTTTTGTACTTAGCCTCTGTGCTGCTCTTCCAGTTCACCCTGTTGTTGACATAAAAGCCCAGGTAGTCTTGTCGCGTGTCCCTCCTCTTCTTTCTGAAGTCGATCACCATTTATCTGGTCTTATTCACATTCAGAAGCAAATTATACATTTCTCAAAACTCACTCTTTATTCCTCCTGCCCATCACCTTTGCATCTATCTGCTGCAGATTTGAGTATTTCTGTATGTGCCATGACTCCAAGTAGTACTGAATCAAGAATGAAGGCAGCACAGTCCCCTTTGAGCTCCCGTACGGCACATCAGACAGACCACCTTCCAGTCTCGGATACTACAGCCCACTTGTCAGGCATTCAGCAACCCATGGCCTATTGGATGTGTTACTGACATATCCTCATCAGTGTCCATTCTGGCACACTGATGTGGTAATTCATTGTACTATAACCTTCATTTCTCTAGTGAAAGCATTGTTTTCATTCAGCGTTATCAGCTCTCTATTTTGTGTTGTATTTTCTTCTCTTAATTTCTAATAAATGTGAGTCACTTTAAATAGACTCCATCAGGATCAATAGCACTGATTCTGGAGGAGCATCTGTGTAAAGCATCCCGTATATATCCCTGATTTAGTGTGCAACTTCTGGAATCACTTTAAAGAACTTGTGGCACAACTTGTTTAAAGATTCCGGACGCTCACACTCAACACTCAACACTTGACGGCAAAGTCTTAGTAAAATTACTCAGAATCAAGTTGTGGGCTTTCCTTGAAATGACAAAGCCTTAAAATGTGGGTTTGATTTAACATTAAGTGATTCAATAGAAACCCTTTCATGTCAATTCTGACAAAAAAAACAAACGTCAAAACAAACCTGAGTAAGAAAAGACAGGGTCACACACGATGTGTGTGTGTGTGTATGGGGGGGGGGGGTTTGAAGATTGAAGATCTTGAATCGCTCTTGAATTTTGCCAAAGCCAGATAAGAACAGACTGTATTAAAACTAGTGACTATGTTATACTCTTGCATTTAGTAGAAAGTGCAGGTCCCATATGAGCTTAGTCAGGTCACATATAGAGCAATGGTTTTGCTGACACACTTTCGTAACTCACAAGGGGAATCTTTCTTTCACCCACTTCTGCTGAAGGCTGTGAAAAACATGGGATTTTTCTGGTCTTTTGTGTCAACTAACTGCTCACCACATTTGGTCTCAGGGTGGTGGTTAACCAAAATAAGACTCTACATGGATTCCCAGTATGTTGTTGGTTTTAAACCACACAAAAAAACACACACAAAACGGTGCACACACATTTTGTTTTCTCTGTGGTTTTCAGACAGTTTCCATTAGGATACCAATTTACGGCCACCTCACATGCACACAGGATGTGTATGCAGTGACTATGAGGTACTGTTAAAGAGTAGCCTCAACACTGCAAACATATTGAGATGTGTTTGTAGAAACATCGAGTCTGACTGCAACCAAGTCAAGCAAAGCTTCCGTAAACCATGCTGTATTTCTGTTCTGTAGTTGTACAGCTGTCTATTTTTAAGCTCCAAACTTGCAAAGTAAAATACTTGCAGCTTTGTGTCGATCAATTATTTCTTGATATGCTGTACTGGAAGGTAGAAATGTCTGAATTGATGGGCCCTCGTTTGCTATGCATTTGGTTAGTCTCTTGTAATACCCGAAATACAACATAACAAACATGAAGCACAGTTTGTTCATTCTAACAAGTTTCAAAGTCAATATTTGTTATGACCTCCTTTATTCTTTAACTCAGTCGGAACTCTCTTAGGCAGCTTTCTTTAAGTAGTCTTCAGGAATAGTTCTCCAGGCTTCTTGAAAGACATTCAAACCTCTTCTCTAGATGTTTCTGCCTTTTGTTCTCTTCTTTGTCAGGATGATCCCAAACCTGCTTTAATAACGTTGAGGTCCAGGCTCTGGGGAGGCCAATCCATGACTCGTAGCATTTTTCATGTCTTTTCATGGAAAAGTATTGCTCAAGACCAAGAAAGTTTGATCCTGTTAGGGTTGAAGATGATTAAATAAAGCTCTTTTTATTATTTTTAGATACACAATGCAGTGTGCTCATAATCGAGTTGGTGTTCCGTGTTTTTAGGGTCAAAAGGTTCAAAAAGCGCTATGACTGGGCTGAAATATTGAAGAGTTGACGTAGTAGCGTAGAGGGTTTTGCAGCATGCTTACACATCACTGATAATGGTTATAAGGATATTCTCTGGGCCAAAAGGAGTCTGAACAAAATGTCATGAACTAGATATTAGAATCAGTAATATTAAAATGATCGCAGTACAAAAAAAAAATTGTCGCAGTACAAAAACTGATCATCCTTGATGTGAGGGAGGCTGTTGTGTTCACATCACGGTCCAGCGCTGTAACTTGTAATCAGTCATCTATTTATACTGACATTATCTTGGTTAACACTAAATTGCATAGTGGCCACAACTGAGGTGTAATAAAGCCGAAGATACTGAATGAGAGAGGAAAAAATAACCTAAACTTATGTGCGTTGGCTTGTGTGACAACTACCCCCAGTAACTTTCCACTTCCAGTCTGTAACTTTCCACTGTAGTAGAGGCCGCTGTTAATTTACTTAACTGAGTGTTGGCATGCTTGTTGTTGAGGCTTTAGCGTATGCAGTTTGCTTCACGCACCATGACCTGGTTGCTCCTTGTTTGACATTGTTTTCTTTAGACAGCTCAATGTTTGCTGGTTTTATAGTAGCTCAAACATTTAAGAACCTCATGTCCATGTTTCTAATGAATTACTATCACAATATCCGTCACAACAGCTGATAATAAGCACATTTACAGTGTAAACCTGAAGTGTATTATGACAGTTAAGAGGTTTATTTAGTAGTTCGTCATATTATTTCAATATGTTAACATTCATCATTCACAGTAAAGTATAGGTGAGGCTCATAGGTGTCATTAGTTATGCAGAAGACAGCAGAATGAAGGTTTTTACTCAGTGATCCTGCAAGAAAGATTTCTGTTCTCAAGAAACAAGTATGTGTTTAAATTGTCACAGCTATAGTTAAAATAGCAACCTGAGGAAAAACACCTAAATTCACCACAACCCAGGAACATATTTGTGCAGGTTTATCTTGTTAATATTTCACTATGCATGTGAAAATTGAGGCCTTCAGTACATTGAAGTGCAGCCCACACTTGTTGGAGTATTGCAGTGTCAACAAAAGTGGTAGAAAGATGCCCGGCTTGGGTGTTCTTATGTATTGGTTGAGCTGGTTGCAGGAATAACGCGAGTGGTAATATTGCTGGAAATTAATCGATCTGCTGGATGTCTGTCTTAAAATTATGTTCTGTAGTTATAAACAGATATAACTCACATGTTCCCCTCATTCTCAATAAAGCAAATCAGGCCAAAGAAAGCTTGTAAAGTTTGCAGTGTTCACCAGTTTCCAACCACTGCGCACCATTAACATGTGATAGTCCTGATATATACACACATAAATACTTAAACCCTCAGTGTGCTTAAAATGGCAATTACATTAAGCAAAGATCAATTTATAAAAGAATTATATAAAAGACACTTGTTTTTAGTAGTTCGTTTTTTAAAAAGTTTTTATTGTAAAATATGCTTTTAAAGAACTTACTAGTGGTAAACTTTAAATCTGTACAACTTTCAATCAGTGTCTTAAAAAAAATAAAAAAATAAATTGTTTTAATTTTTGTCCGACTTAATCTGTTGCTGTTTAAGTGCTCAGTGCTAAATAATATAATGGAAATATTGCAATATAAGTATGTCCTATCTTTAAATTGATGATCAGGGTCAGCAAAACTTCTTACAATTTGACATCTTTTAATTCACAATTAATTAATTAATTTGTGATTAAAGTAAGTGCAAGGCACCCTTTGAGTTCTGCGTATGTGTACAGGTAAAATAAAACATGACCATCACACCAAATGCTTTTCCCAACTCAAATATGTATCAAGTACTAATCCAGGTGTCATGATCGTATGTCTTGGAAGTAAAAACGGCTAAAAACAACAGAATTACCTACATTTCCATTTAAATGAAAAGATGTAGGCACAGTCAATTTCAGCCATTCACATTCATTATGAATATCATGAACACATTCCCATTGGCATCAATTCAAAATTACGCAATTGTATCTGTAGCATACAACAAAAACAAATCAATTTATGTTTTCAACTCTGACATCATCAAGTGTACAGTGTTATAAATGTGGCACTATGGAAAAAACACCTCATGTACCTATATGCAAATGAGTACGGGACAATAAAACCTAATTGCCTTGAAGCGACTGTTGTTGTGATTTGGCGCTATATAAATAAAATGTAATTTATAAAATTACGCTAGTAGCTCATTGACAGCTTCATATTTTTTGTAAAACCAGATTTACAACTAAAGCAAATTTACTAATGACCTGTGTAAATCATACACTGACAAACAGTCATTGTAAAAACATAAGGTGCATTAAAATAAACTTTGTACTTATACAACAGTGCACTTTGAGTCATTATTTGTACACATTTACTCATGTTAGTTCAGAATAAAAAATCCAAATGAATTAAAATAATTTATACGTATAGCCACACACTTCAATGCAGTGCTTTGGACTGATACACGCCAAGTGATCAGCGAATAAGATCCTGGAAATCATTCCTGGAATCATGATCACATAGGATACATCAGTAAGACAATTAGTGAGTATAGAGTCAGAAAATATAAATTTACTATAAAATGTTACATTAGATTATGTATTTATTTCGGTCAAACTCTACTTTCTGAAATCACATTTTTCCTCTTTTGTATTTTTGTATTTGTATTTTCCCAACAGCTTAACACAGCGGTTCCCAAACTCTTTTTGCTGGGCCCCCCTTTGTTTTACAAGAAAAATGTTCGAGCCCCCTCACACGCGCACACGCACACACTAACACATCCTCCAACCACACACGCCCATATTTTGCTCCATTGCGGTTTCTTTCACACCTCAAACATTTAGTAAACAATTAAGCAAATACAAGTAATCTGCAATAAATTACAGGTAGTAAGAAAATAAACTACGAACTCTTTTACGCTGCGTCCGCACCTACACGGGTGTTTTTGAAAACGCAGCTGTGTCGTCCACGTAAACGGCGTTTGGAATCACCGAAAACTGAGATTTTTTAAAACTCCTTTTTTGCGTTTACGTGTGGACGAGGAATACAAAGTTCATCACGCAACGTCAAAGGTATGTGCCTTTTTTCACGTCACGCTGTGCACCACGTTATTGTTTACAAGAGATGAATTGCAGAATGGCAGATAGAGAAAAAAATACTGTTAATCTGACTGTCTGCAGGTTTTACACGCAGCTACTGTTCTTCTATTTAGAAAGGCAGAGGCGTCACGGTGCGATTACTTTACATCTTGTTTTTTTCCTGTGTAATAATATTCAACATTGCTATCAATACATTTTTCAAAAATGCCTCTCTGTGCAAAATGTTTATGTTTTTAAACAAACATAAACAGCTGTGAGATACTGTTTGTCTGTGATTTGATAACTATCATATCTGATATCATATCTCACAGTGCAATAATATTGAATGGGTTGCATTGTTGTACTTTGTCATGTTTCTCAGGTCTTTGTCTGAATTTCTACCAACATTACTTGTCATGTTCTCATGTTATTGCTAAGGATTGTCTATTGCATTGGAGTCACACTGGGTTATATATGTACACTTGGGTTTTAAGGGGTATTTATTATTTTCTTCTTTTTTTTGGGTTGTATGGAAGCCCCAAACGCAATTTCATTGTTCTTGACAATGACAATAAATAAATACTACTATAAATACTACAATTCTGCAGAGGAGAGCTACCTCGGCACTTGTGCAGGTGAAACCAAAGGGAAGATTTGCTTCACCATATTTGGCTTAGAATGAAGTTGGTTTGGAAACATTCAGCTATGCTTCATCTCCTGATTTGCGTTTGTGGAGGCGCCAGTGCTAGCAGTGTTTTGTTGTTTTTTTTTTCCTTTTCATACCGCGCCCCCCCTGCAATGGTTCCCACACTTTGGGAAGGTCTGGCCTAACACATGACGTGTTTTTTTTTATTATATAGGCTAAAGGCAAAACATCAGAGCTTTTCTCTCTACAAAAAACTAAAACCATGTAAAGCACCAGCTTGGTGTTTTACAGTACTGTGCCTACATACTCTAGGTACAATATCTAGAGCAGCGGTCCACAACCTTTTGACATTAAACCACAGACCGGTTTAATGTCAGACAATATTTTCACGAACCGGCCTTTAAGGTGTCGCGGATAAATGAATCACAATAAAATGATACGACCAAGACAAAAACGGTGGTATTTTGAAAATATAGTAATGAACGCGAATTCACTGTGTAACTTTATTAGCAGCGTCCTCCTGAAATGCGCCAACCTCATTGGACCTCTCTGTCCCTTAATGCTCTCTGGTCGCTATGGTAACATGTAAATATTTCTTTCAAAATAAAGGACACAACTACAACACGGGAAAAGACCCAGGGAAACCGAGTTAATGATAAAAAACCCTTAAAACCGTAAATTTCACACCGGAGCCTCAACTCTCACGGCCCGGTACCAAACGACTCACGGACCGGTCCATGGCCCGGTGGTTGGGGACCGCTGACCTACAGTATATGCGTATGTATGCATATACCCAGCACAACAAAAATATACGAAAGGCAACGTGGGTAAATGCTTTTTAAAGGGTTTCACTTTGTCACATATATATGGGCATCTAAGTGTATTGCCAACAAGTACATCTCAAACTCTACCATCTTTTGAAAATTGAATAACAAAATAAAATATGGTAGCCCCATGCCTTTTGTATCCTTAAAATGTGGCTTTTGTTCATTTGTGTAATGGGTAATTAACTGTATCAAACATGCCTGTTCTGTATTTCTTGGACAAATCTGGCCTTCTGTTTGGAAATAACTGAACCTATAAGGAGAAATAGATGAAGAGAAAGATCCCAACTGAGCAAACCACCACCAGTGCGATGTTTAAGATGATTCTGGTCGTTGGAGGTTCATAGAGAAGCTCCTCCACCATCTTCTCCTGTTCTTGAACTGTTATGACCTGATCTTTGGACAATTCCTCCTTGAATCCACAAAACCAATCCAAAACCTTAATACAACATCCACGCTCCTCTTTTGCGTCCCCTGCTCCACAGCTCTCGTCTTCCTCCTCCACTCCTCTTCTTTCCTCATTTTCTACCATTTTGGAGCCTGAACTCTGAGCACAGCCACCATTCTGTACTGAATAGATTGTTTCTATATCACTTGCTGTGACATTATTGCTGCTTCCTGATTGGCCATTTTCAAGATTTGTCTCAGAGCCATTGAGCAAGTTTGGGTCCTTGTGACACTGTTCTTCACCAAGAACACCATTTCCATTAAAGGCTGAGTGATTTAGGGGTTTCAAAACATTGACGTCTTTTTCAGCATTTCTTCCTTGATTTTTTAGCTTCTTTCTCTTGTTTAGTCCCCAGAGAGTAGTGGTTTGGATTTGTCCCTCTTCGGGTGGAGGAGTGCAGAGACTCACAACAACAGCCACCACAGATGATATCCAAAACAAGATGGCTGCCACATACATGTAATGGATATCTTTGATGAAGGATGGGCGTTCATCAGGCTGATCGCAGAGTGGCTCTCGATAAACAAATGCCAAAACCAAACGGAGAGCTCCAAGGAAAAACCCTACCATCCCTCCCCAAAAGGCACCTGTCTCATTACAACGACGCCACAGGATGCCAAGCAGGAAGAGAGCCGCTATGGGCGGAGTCAGATAATCTGATACTTCTTGGATGTAGTAGAATATCTGGCCTCCCTGCATTTCAATGATCACAGGCACCCAGGCGATGCTTATGATCACCATGAAAAGGACAAACAGCCTGCCTACTATCATCAGCTCTCTGGACGACGCCTGCTTTCGTAGCATCTTGTAAATATCTAGGGTAAAGATGGTGCTTGCAGAATTAAAGATAGAGTCCAAGTCGCTCATTAGAGCTGCAATCATAACAGCCATCATCAACCCGCGGAGACCGACGGGCATTACTGACATGACGAGCCTTGGGTAAGCCACATTGCTGCAGCCAGCTGCAGAGCCACACACTTCAATGCAGTGCTCTGGACTGATACACGCCAAGTCATCAGCGAATAAGATCCTGGAAATCATTCCTGGAATCATGATCACATAGGATACATCAGTAAGACAATTAGTGGGTATAGAGTCAGAATTTTATCTGTGTAAGATATTCATAGGGTGGTTAATGTCTCTACCTGGGATGACAATGATAAACATTGGCAGGATTTTGAGGAAACCGGCCATGATTGTTGACCCTTTGGCATGAGCAATATTTTTTGCTGCCAGAACCCGCTGAACAATCACCTGATCTGCACACCAGTACCTGGAGCACATAAACACAAAAATTAGTCTGCTAATTGGTACTCACCTCTATTTAGTATACTCTGGACTACCTGTGCCATTTGTAATGACCCCAAAAGTCAGCTTTGTGAGAACTATTCTAGGGACATTTCTGAGATCGTGCTTGTTCTGTGGCTCCACGGAGGGTCTCTCAGTCGGTCTTTCACCTCAGATCTCACAGTCTAATAAATCATGAAACATTTTCACTAAAAAAAAAAAATGTATGTTGACACTGAAATGACTTTATAGGTCAATCATTGACCACTGAGATATTTAAAGCCTTTATTGGACTTTCAGTGATGTTAGAGAAAAAGAATGAGAACTAAACATCATTAAGAATTTCCATCCATCCATTTTATTCCACTCTTCCAATTTAGGGTTGCGGTGGTTTACAACCTATCCCAGTTGCCATAGCGCATGACGCAGGTTATACGCTGGACAGGTCACCATTCTGTCACAGGGGTAATTCAGGGAGACCGACAACCATTTACACTCACATTCACTCCTATAGCCAATTAACAATCACAAACTAACCCCACTAAGTGCATGTCTTTGGACTGTGGGAGGAAACTGGAGTACCCACAAAGAAAGATTTCTCAATTGTCAGATTTAACTGCTTGAAACTGACCTTACTGCCAATAATGCCAACCTGAGGAGTGTGGATTCTTGCTCCATGGCTTGAACCAAACCACGGACCTTCTTACTGTGAAGAAGCACCACTCAATTTATATGTGTTGCCTCTACTTTAAGAATTTCTAACTGTATAATTCATTGTTTTTTTGAGGAAAAGAAATCATATGCAACATGTGTGCAAGGTCCTGGCTGCGATGCCAGCGAGCAACCAGGACCTTGCACACATGTTGCATGGTTGATTAGCATACTTGCCCTGAGGGTAGCACTACAAAAAATTTAATGAAGCATGCAAAGCCAAGGAGCAAGAATAAATGCTCCTCCGGGCAGCATTTCATGGTAACAAATTCAGTCTACTTTTACTTAAAGCAATCAAATCTGACAAGTGGCAAAAGAAGAAAAACACCTGGCTCAGAGTAAATCTTTTAGAGATTAGGAGTGTTTAAACACACAAGGCTGTACAAAACCGTATTGGTAAGGAAATTAGTCTTAAAAGAAATAGCATTACCAAATAGAGGCAGGAGTCTGGCCGAGTAAGAAACCAAGCCATGGCAGGTCTGGATCCTGGGCCTCTCGGAGGATCTTCAGACTATCTGGCTTCGGAATGGCATGGTTATAGCAGGACTCAGAATACGTCAGATTGGGTGAAGACAGCAAGATGGCACTGATGTTTGGAGTGGCCTCCATGTAACCGTGTCTCACACCTTACAAAGACATGCCAAAACACGGTTAAGCATTGTTTAGTTAAACAATTGACATAAATTCATGAATGCATGAAAGAGAAACAAGGACCTTCGAACCCTCCCACTTTGACGAGGCTGATGCCTGTCAGACAGAGGGCCCCAGCAATCATGAGGAACGCTTGAACTGTGTCTGTGTAGATAACAGCAACCAGACCTCCGGAGATGGTCAGCAGAGCTGTCATGGCGATGAGGAGGAGGATGGACAGATAGAGGTTCCAACCTAAGGATTCTTTGATGAACAAGGCTCCAGAATAGAGATCCACAGACAGCTTGGTGAAGATGTAAAGGACAAGAGATAAAGCAGCAAAGTACACCTTCAGTCGATTCCCCCCATATCTCTTGGACAGGTACTCTGGCATAGTGTAGATGCCACACTGGATATAGACTGGAATGAACACCCAGCCTAAAAACTGGAGCAGTAATACAGCATTGAGCTCCCATGCAGCCACACTGAGACCGCTAGCAGCACCTGATCCAGCCAATCCAATGAAGTGCTCACTTCCTATGTTACTGACAAATAGAGAAGCTCCCACAGCTGCCCAATTCATCGAGCGCCCCGCCAGGAAGTAGCCGCTCACTGTGTTCCTATTGGCTTTCCACATTGCAAGGAAGCCAATCCCTAACACCAGGATGAAGTAGATCGCTACAATGATCATGTCCGCTGCTTCCATGGCCATGTTTAAAACCTGTTATGGCTGTATGACAGAAATAAACTAAATGTGCCCAATGGCGAATTTGCGACACGGCTTAGAACACTTCTGTCTACAGTCATCTATATCTTCTTATATACACAGACAGTGTAAGACGTTTATGAAAGAGACATCTGAAACATTTGCATCCGTGTCTAAGGAATTACTTCAAGCACTCTTGACTTTTTGATCCTTGGTAGTTAGATCTGGAAATCTGTGCAAGCTGTGGTTTGGCAGCACACAGGATGGCATTGAGTTGTTCCTTGGTTTTACAGAAGAAGTGCGATTCCTGCAACAAGATGAACAAAACAAGAACAAGATGCATGACCAAAGCAATGCAAAAACATGTGAACAGTTGAAAATGGCTGATAAAACAAGGAGACAATATTTGATAGCGTGGCCAAGCGGTCTAAGGCACTGGATTAAGGCTCCAGTCTCTTTAGGAGCATGGTTTCAAATCCCACTGCTGCCATGAATAGGTGTGTTTTAATTCTTGTTTTGTTTTTTTAAATGAATTTCCCACAGGAACCCACCAAGGGATTAATAAATTTTTATCTCTCCCTCTGTCTCTCTCGATCTAGACTAGGACACTTCTTTGCAGTCTAGATAAGCTGTAAAAGGTTGCAAAATGAGGTGAAATTGTGGTTCTTTTGTCTCAAAACCCAAGCATTAATTCTTGTTTGTAAAAAGCTGACTGAATTGCAGTGAAGTTAACTGTAAATCTGGCTGCCATATTCAATGTGTACACATGCAGAAATGCTCCAGAAATCATGTAAGATATTGTGTTCCCTAAACCTTACAATCTGTTCAGTGTAAGAGAAGTGGTGCAGTCAGTGGTTGAACCTTTCAGAGCTTAAGTCGTCATCCTAAGTTGGTCACCTATTAATTTTAGCCTCTTACTTTAACACTGCCAGCTAATAGAGCTAATAGAGACATTTTTTGGAAGAATGATCATCTTGCATAAAGATTTGCCATAAAAATATTTGCTGGTATTTCAACTGTTGTAAATGAGTTGTTGGTACGGTGGCCCTGAGAGGCCAAACGGACTGCAACTTAAGAAAACACCAGTAATAACAAAAACAAAAACAAAAACAAAAAAAAAAGCACACAAAACACAATGGAAATAGGAAAAGAGAAAACAGATTTCCAAAAGGACAAGGGAAGTGTTTCTGGGGAGACAATAACCCAACGGACCAGTTGCAGGAACCAAAATATGCTAAGAATTGTGCTGGGAGACACTTAAAAGAAGTGGAGGATCTATCGGTTTTGTGATGAAAGAAAAGATGAGAGGTAAGTGTGTTAGCCTAACTATTAGCCTAAAAATCCATCATCAGTATTATATGAATCATGATAAAACACAGCTACCATGTTATGGGTTCCTGCAACTGGTCCGTCGGGTTATTGTCTCCCCAGAAACACTTCCCTTGTGTTTTTTCCTATTTCTTTTTTTTGTTTTTCATATTTCTGTTTTCTTTTTTCATATTTCTGTTTTCTTTTTTCATATTTCCGTTGTTTTTTCCTATTTTCGTTGTCATTTTTCCCATTACCATTATGTTTTGTGTGCTTTTGCAGCGTTTTTCTTATTGCTGGTGTTTTCTTAAGTTTCATAAATAGCATTGAGTCATTTTCAGTCAGAAATAAAACTTTTGTCAGAAACTGCAATCAGTTTTTGGTAAAGTGAGTGTTATATATCCTCCATTTGTAAGTAAAAGGCCAAGAGGGTAGTGGAAATGGCAAGGAATACAAAATAAAAATTCTATAAAGATATTCTCAGTGGCCGACAAGGACTAGATTGATTATAATGTAAGTAAAGTAATGCAGAGTCATTATTGTACTTACAAAACAGGTAATTTCTTTATTTATTATGCAACCCCTTTATAAATTCAGTCCACACTGCAAAATATGTGTTGATATAAGCAGAGATGTTAGACAATGGGTGTCAAACATAAGGGCTGGGGGCCAGAATCAGCCTGACACAGAATCTTTGGAACATGTGAACAAGGGCATAAATTTTGGTCTGTATTCTGATAAATTTTACAACTTGCCCTGTTTCGCCTAATAAGGACCTCCACAGCAACTGCTCATACTACTCCAACATAACTGAGCAACTGACAAATCTGATCTAATATAGAAATTACACAATAAGAAATCTGTCATTTTTTGTGAATTTACAGAAACTTTGTTTTATACTGACAGGACAATCTGAGCAATGAGCTACCAGAACTTTTTTTTGTAATTTTCCGCATTTATTTCTTACAATTTAAACCCAACCAGTCATGGTGACAGACTTCATTCATTTAATACATCAGCATTTCTTTATCCTGTAGATAAACAGAGACATACTGTTGACATTACAATTCTTTTTCTTATATCAACATATCTCAGAGATTAAATGTGCAGTTAAACACTGAGAGAAATGGGAGTCTCACTGGTCTGGTCCACTTAAGGCGGGTTCTAAGGAAAGCTGGTGTGCAGTTATGATAGAGGGAAAATGCATGCATGCACCAGCATTGCTTTGTTACATTGGGATAACAGGCTGTAAGACAGGCTGAATTTTACAGAAGTGATGTGTATGTCAGCTTCTGCTATCTAGTAACAACTGCAAATCCTTTCAGTAAGCAAAGCAATCACAACCCATGATGCGGGACTGTAGTATGAGGGTCCTGCATCAGGGCCGGTGTTTGTGTTTGCTATTTTTGTTGCAGTGCTCTGATCTGAATCGGAAGGTCTTTGTGAAAACAAAATTTCATGTACATAGGAGACCTAGTGCATTTCCAGGTAGGAAGTTTACTCTTGCATCAGAGTCAATATTAAATTGAAATAATTAGCACATGGTTAACCAGAGTCTTGAGGGAAAGGCTAAGGAAACATCTTTTATTTCCAGCTTTCTCAGACTTGATTATATTTGCCCCCTTTTCAGGAAACATAGTTACCCAATTTTAGACCTGATTCACTTCACTTCTTTAAAATACTCTTGAGCACTCTGGAGGACTTTATGACAGGAACCTCTCAGTACTCCTGTGCTGTGCTTCATGCTGGTTCTTTTGGTTATGATTTATCTGTTGCTAATACTTCAAAACACCTCTTTGTTCTCAAATTAAAATCATAAGTAGCGTTTGATGTTGCAATATAACCAAATAATACACTATGTTACATTCTGAAACAGTTCCTGTCACTCTGCTTTCTGCCACTTTATACTTTATACTTCTGTTTTGTTCTTTAGCTTTAATTCAAAAGGACCTTAAAAGGCATAATTACCTGCTTTATTTAATTTGTATGATTTACAGTGTCGTAGTTAATTTCTAATAAAATATTTCCTGTTCTGTTATTAATATTAGGCGTATAATACGGGTTATTAGTTGTCACACTTTACTATATTATCACAGTCTCTGTTTCCATCCATAATCCTGGGCCATTTGTCTCAGTGTCCTGTCATATCCTCTTACAGTCCTGCTACTACTGTTTTGAATGAAGCAGCACGGTGTTCCTACAAGTCTTTTATTAATTCCACACGTATTTCATTCGCAGCATACGTTCATTAGCATTAGCAGTAAATATGAAGCGGTAAAAAAAGTTCCTGAATGTTTTCGAAGCTTCGGTTTAAAGAAAAGCTCAGACTCACCTGTTTCCTCTCTGAGTGTCTCCCGGGCTTAACGTTAAACTGCCGTTTAACTACCGGACCGGTCCGACCGGTCTGAGCGCAACGCCGCACGGAGCTCTCCTCGGCGCAGTGAGGAGACTGAAGGCACCGCGAGACTCCGCCCACAGCAGCATCGTCGCCTTTAGGTTCGAGGAGGAAGTGTGGGGGCGCTCGTGGTGTGCAGGTGCTTTCCACTGAGTGCGCTGTAAGCATGTACATACAGGTTCAGCATTACTGACACCGATTCTATGTAGGACAGAGCAGTGTGGCACGTTAATGAAATAAATCATCATCAATTTTCAAATTCTAAACACATTTTAAGGAGCCAATTTTAAATCACTGTATTTACTCTCCACAGTAATTTATGTGTTTATTCATATGCTTGTTATTTGTCTGTCACGTGACAGTCAACACAAAAAAGTTATTTTTGTGCATATTTGAGGTAAATTATTTCATTAAAAATGCGAATAATTTGCTGCAGTTAAAAGGGATACATTTTGAACTCCTGATAGGTATATTTTATTCTAATTTATTCTATTGTGTACAGTTGTGTACTGTATTTATTCTATTCTATTCTAATTTTTCTTCATTACTTTTGCACTGTCCACTTCCTGCTGTGACAAAACAAATTCCCCACATGTGGGACTAGTAAAGGTTATCTTATAGAAGCAAAATGGTAAATGGCCTGTATTTGTACAGCGCTTTATTTAGTCCCTAAGGACCCCAAAGTGCTTCACACATTCAGTCATCCACCTCACACACTGGTGATGGCAGCTACATTGTAGCCACAGCTGCCCTGGGGCGCACTGACAGAGGTGAGGCTGCCAAACACTGGCACCACCGGGCCCTCTGACCACCACCAGTACACAACGGGTGACGTCTCTTGCGCAAGGACACAATGACCGAGACTCAAACCGGCAACCTTCCGATTGCAAGACGAACTGCCAACTCTTGAGCCACGATCGCCCAAAATATCAATCCTGGTGCTCTAGTATTGATCAAATACCAGTGCCAGCGTTGGTAGTGATACTATCGATATTTGGATGAACGCACGTGCCTCCAGTAAGGAATTGAATTCACTAACTAATTAACTATTTGTTTGATTCATGATAAACAAAAAACTAAGGACCGAGGAGTCTCTTGGTGGATTTTTGGATATTTTGCACTTGCCTTAAATTGAAGATGTGATTAATGACAATGTGAGTCACAGCGAGTGTTTCAGTGATTAATTCAGGAGAAAATTGTGTAGTAATATCAAAATAAGTTAACTTCTTTCCCTGTCAAACTATTTAGTAGTTGCAACAGTCATTAAAACTAGCTTATAGTATGTTAATGATCATGACAAAGTTATCGTCTTTGAATCTAATCTGCACATTTTGTTTGCCTTTAAACTTTGGGGTATTTTCAAAACTTGTCTTTAAGATAGTCAATCACAGATTTATGACTTCTGACTGAACTGTGGATTCTATACGTAATGCATTTTTTAACTGGGTGTAGTCTAGATCAAATCTCACATTAAAGCCTAATAA